CGACGCTTCAATTGAGCCCAGAGATGCACGATGCGCCAACAGCACGGTATGGCCAGTGCATGGTCCAGCATAAGGAGCAGCTGTACATATGGGGAGGAACCCATGGCACCAACTACCCGACCGACATGCATAGATTTGACCTCATATCTAAACGGTGGTTCGGCGTGGCGATGACAGGCGAGCAGCCAACTGGGAGGTAGGTCCAGACCACCACAGTTTTCTGTCGGTGGTACATCCTCGTGTCAGGTACCGTCACCAAGCTCTGGTACGGAATGACTGCATGTATGTCTTTGGGGGCTCGGGCACGGCGCGTTATGGTGATGTGTTCGAGTTCGATCTATGCACCAACACCTGGAAACGTCTGGTCTGCTCAGGGGCGGGCCACTTTCAACAGGGCAGGTCGGTGGGTGTCCCCGCTGTGGCACTGCATGCTACGGTTCCTTCCAGATACGCCCATGCGGCTGTACTACATGACTCGAAAGTGTTGGTCTATGGTGGCAACGATGGGCGAAGGACCAACGACCTCCTCATCTTCGATATTGACACGCAGGAGTGGTCACAAGTGGACCAGAGCGGAGCCATGGTCCAGGAGACCTCACTGTTGTTTTTCAGTTACCTGTCCATGCTCTGGCAGCCCCGCCCGGTCGGGACTTTCATGCTGCCGTGACCACTGCCCGTCAGCCTGTCCTCTCGGCGTTGTCCGATCGTGGTCCGGACAGTTGGTCCAGCCCTGGGAACAGCGTTGGTGAGGAACTCGAGGCCATGGTCATCTTTGGAGGCTCCTCCGGCCATACAAGGTAGCAAACGTCCTGAGTGGCCCCGATGGCTCTTCCTTATCAGACACAACGATGCCTCTCGGTTCGTCCTGTCTTCTGCCCCACCTGTGTGCACGTTGAGCTCGGACCTCGGGGACCGGTTCTTGAAGTGTCAGGCAGCTGTGGATGGTCACGACTCGCTTTGTAACGTAAGTGACCGGGCAGCTAGTCGCTTCCCAGAAGCCGCAATAGGCAGTGTTGGAATGTATGTTCGCCTTCCTCAGCTCAGAAGTTTCCTCACTGATTAAAAACGTTTACATACGAATTCGGGTGAAAGTGCGCATAAACCAACGAGAATCTCCTCAGAACTTCCACATTATCGCCAACGCCTGTAGCTGACCATGTGCATATTCTCCCACATTGGTAACAGGTGTTGGTCGTACCCTCATTGGACTCTTCGAAGTGGCAGCTAGTAGCCAGCAGAAGCATCCTGAGGGCCCGGTGTCCCCAACTAGCGCGGGCGATTGCTAAGGTGCCTCCAAGTGCCCATCATCTGTATGATTGCTGAACCCAGCAGGTCTCTGAATCGACGACCGGACGGTGCGGGATGCTGTGGAAACTCCCAATGAGCTCGGGAGAGGACTCCACAGGTGAACCATAACGCTATAGTCGTTCCTCTATCGATGCTCTAAGGCCCAAATCGCTGCACAGCTCTGCGTCTTCTGTATTACATTCACACAGACCAAGCCCTTGATCTCACCACGATGGCATGCATGGAACTATATGATCTCTTTCGAGAAGCTGCCAGGTGGGCAGCCTCCCGTTCGGTCACAACACGATCTTGTCTCTGCCAGGTATGAGCTCGATCGTTTGGCAAGTCTCTGCCACAGGCAAATCCGCATCAAGCTAAGCTCAGAATCGGTGCTCTTGATTCTGCGTGACTGCTACGACTCGGTACGCTGCCTAGCGTTATCACTGCTCAGGAAGTTCTTTGTGTGTAGATGCCCTTTTCTGCTAGTGTGAGGAGTCTCATTGAAACTTGCAAGTATTTCTTCCTTAATAATTACGCTGAGTGTGGTGAGCATCGCCATTGTGTCCCCATCCTTCATCGTGATTTCAGCTGCCCTAGAGAGCTGTGAGACATTGGACCCGCGCCTACTTTGTGAACTCATGCGTTGCATGACCGTGACGTCCCAAGGCCCCTCGCTGGGCACCGCCACTACGGGGGGCCGGTTGAACTCCCCTTCACGAGGGGTATGTAACAGCAATCGGTCTCGAAACACTAGCGATCGCTTCCTCAGTTCCCCACTGCGTCAATGGATGGCATTCGTGTAGCCCCCAGTCCGGGCGGAGACGGTTCGGCGGCATTCGCGTATCAGCGTAGATGCCCGTTGTCTCCCATAGCGGTAGGGCCCACCTTTTAGTGCCCCTGTTGAGGTTACTATAGGTAGAAGCTTCAACTATGCAATTCGACATGCAGAAACTACTGCATGGTGATGATAATGATGGAGACTTCGATGTGAGTTTTGAAATCCTATACACCTATCTCAGCAGATAATTCAGGTGGTCGTCCAGGGAGAGGAGTTTAGGTGCCATCGGTTTGTGCTAGCAGCTCGGTGCCAGTACTTCGCTATGCTGATGCAATCTGGCATGACTGAGTCACAGGAGAACCGCTTGGTAGGGCCTGTCACAAGGACCATGCTGAGAAGGCTGCTCACAGGTCTTGCCCGATGAGGCCACCTCTATGACAGCAACGGG